TCTCCAGTAACTCTAGAGAGTGACTCCTTAATTGGATAAAATTGTGTGATCACAAAAGCATGCTTTCAACATAGATAAGTTGATAACTTCCAACGAGGTATCATGACAAGCCTCTCTTGCTTATAATTTCTTAATGCCAAGAATAAGCCACTTACTTATAGACAGGAGACATGAAGTTTGACATATGGCTAACAAGTAAAAATGGTTCTCAAGCTATCTAAATATAGTTACCTTCATAACTTACCTATTTTCATGGAAAGTCCTATGTGATGATAGTAATAAATTCATGTTGCCTAGTTACCCCCCCACCACCACCACCACACACACAATAACAGATAAGGCAATGAAATACCAAAATCGAAAATTTTGGTTTTGGAATAAGTTTCATGTACCTTTGTTTTCGTATTAATTTAAATTGTTCTCTCCATTTCATACTATTGAGCACTCCGTGCAAAGCATGGCTTACATTTTTTTTATTTCTGCTACAGTAATTCTGTATTTTTAATATTTTCTTGTAAGTGCTACAGTAACATTTTAAATATTACAGCATCCCGCCAGAGCTACAGTAATAATGTTAAGCAATGTTTTTTAGCGCTACAGTTTCCGTCTATGCTACAGTAATAATGTTACAGTACTTTATTGTAGCATGAATAGCAAATCTTGGATCCTCTTACCTGTACTCCAGTAACAATGCTACAGTAATCTACTGAAGCATTTACTGTGATATGAATAGTGAATCTTAGATCCTCCCATTATTATAGAGGAATAGATTAGATAGTTGACCAATGGCACTTTAAGAAGTTTCATGAATTAGTAAAGACAATCAAAAACAATTTGATATAATTTTTGAATAAATCATGAAGTTTAGGTTAAGTTTCAATAATATGTTGTATACAACTATACATGAATAGCTAAGCAGCAATAACTTTCCACACCCAAACATACGATAATAGCTATAACAATTTATACCATATTTTCAAGTAAAAGCTTAAAGATGAAGATAGTGATAGGTGCTCTCACTCTCAGCGGACGAAAAACATAACTGAAATGGAATTTATTTCCTTAAACAAATACTCTAGATGATCTTGTAATATACAACACATAAGTTTCTTTTTCAACCATTTTGACTCATAAGCTACCAAACAATTATAGCTAATAATAGTTGGATAACACAACACTTTATTTTCCTTTAGTTGACAACCAGAGTCATTAACATTATTATTGTTTTTCTTGACCACGTCTCATTATCACTTTCATTGTTTCCATGCAAGAAACAAAGATGAGGATGGGATGGGCAATGTAAGAGAAGCAAAAACACTAGAAGAATGAACAAAATAAAACCTTGACCGTTCTCCTTTCTCTCTTTCGTTTATAACTGTAACATCTTTTTAATATCTCCACTGATTTTTTTTAATGGGCTTTTTAGTTTTATACTGTTTTAATGTTGGTGGTGTTGTGGTTGCAACATTAGATTGTCTGCTTTCACAAGATTCAGCCTACAACGCTTACATGGTAAAAATATTAAGTAATAGAGAGAACTTTTAGAGGGGTGTTACGGCTGATAATAGTTACATCAGGTAGACAAGAGGTCTCAATTAGCTCTCTTTATAAGTATTTACTGACATTTAAAATAATTTAATATAATATAATATTATTGGTAAAAGACACAGAATATGAACTATATAGTACATACCATTCGAATCACTGAAAACTAAACATCAACAAAATGTCAAAGAAAACAACACGTAACATGTGATAGGTCATCATAGTGGTAAATCCGAGCTTACCGTAAAGTTTGGCTAGTGAAATCCATCCTTATACAATGTTTGTAGTGTCCTAAATAGAGGAGCTTACCGTAAAGTTTGGCTGGTGAAAATCATCCTTATACAATGTTTGTAATGTCCTAAATAGAGGATGCCTCGGAGTATCATATCGGCCACCACATAAATCAAGACCTCCAACAAATGCAATAATTTTTCTCTTAAAGTTACCAGCATCAGCATCAAGAACAACTGTTTTCTGATGATGAGTAAAGATGACTCCGGTTTCCTGATAGCAAAGAATTTGCAATGAGTGAGAAAACATGTACAATCAAAAGGGAACCTAAGCCTTGGTTTCCGAAATTTACAAAGGTAAACATGGAAATAGATGCAAAAAAACATAAGGCATAAGGTAGGTTATTTTGTTTGCTAATTATTTAGATACTTTATAAATACAAACTATTCAGAATGACTTAAAATAATTAGAATTATCAAAATTCTCATACATGGGGAGGACTCGAAGAGGGGTTAGGACTTAGAAGAAGCCTTCGTCTTCGTCGAGAGGGGTAGGTATTAGAAGTTGGCGAAGTGCCGAAAATAAAGATGAGGTTAGGATTTTTTTTATCGGCGAGAGGAGATGGTGAAGACGAGGAGGACCCAGAGAGAAGCCTTGTCGTTAGTGGAGATAGAAGCAAAGACGAGCCTTGTCGTTAGCAGAGGGGTTCATCTTCGTCGAGAGGTAGAAGTGACGGAGAGGTTTTCTTCTTTGTTGAAAGCATGAGAGGAGGTGGAGGAGGGGAGGAGATAAGGGGGGCGCTGGAGATGGAGTCAGGGGACAACTAGGATACTTTAGGCTCATGAAATTAGGGTCGGAGATTTGATTGAGAACTGATTTGGGTTAGTGTAATACTGATTTGGACGGTGGAGATATCGTCATGTATCCAAATCTGATCACCAATTTAACTCAATTTAATAAGCGTAACGCATGTAAAATGTGTTTTTCAGTGTTATTTCCTATGTTAAACGTAATATGGGTTTTCTGAGTTTTATAACACTTTGGCTGCGTTAGGTGTCGAAACGGGTTATAAAGGGTTTTAAAACTAGTTTTTTCTACATTGCTTTCCATTCTTAATCTCGTATTTATAATAGGGCTAACATGTCCTCAGTTCTTTCAAAAATTTTATTAATTTTTTTTCTTTTTTGCTACCTATAAAGACACAATAGTCAACAACCATGTGCAGATTGCATGTGATCTAAAAATTGTACAGTAAAGTATGAATATATGTGTAGAGAGTTATACATACATAAATATCCTATTGTATTTATTATAAGAAAATTCAAAGCTAAACACATTTTAAGAGCTATCAAGAAAAATATTTCTTATATGTATACACTATTACACACATAAATATCATATCATAGTTATTATTACAAGATTTCAAAAGCAAACACATATTTTTAAGAGCTAATATTTAAAAATACTTCCTACAAAATTTCCTACATGCATATATACACTAACATACATATATTCATGCAGACAATGTATTTCCACAACTAAAATACAGGATGTGCTTGACAACTTGTCTGTACGCAACATCCCTACTCATTGGAAAAATCATGGCTTGAAATCTTCTAACTCATGTCATGAAGGCATGGTCCATTTTCACTATTTTTAATGACCTAAAAGCTTTCAAAACGCAATTTTCTATTTAATATATGATTTATGTATTAAAGTTAAAAGTGTGGATCACACTTTGGTGTGGGCCAACCTGTATGAAAAAATAATAATTTTCAGTTTGACGGCAATTAAGTGTTACCCACCTAAGACATAGAATTTGTACTTTCTTTTTGTTATTTTACCTCCTCTATAGAAGACCTTGAGAATAGAGATTTATGTTTTATTGCAACTCCTAAAAGAAAAAAATAACCATTCCAAAAATGTGATGCATAAACTTTTGTAGTGGGGGCTCAAAGGCTAATATCAAGAAGCAGAAAGACTACAATGAGGAAGGAAGACACCTCAAATAAGCTCTCATGCACAAAAGAACTCCTATTTGGGAGAAAACAAATCGGAAAACAACTTCCAAACAAAAACAAATTGATCATAACAAGCATGTTATAACGTGCTTCACCATTTCTGCACTCACTTCTGATGGGAGATTCAAACCTGAAACCACCTAGGAAACAAACTGCATTAAGCTAGCCTCACTAGGTACTGTTATCTCTAGGAATAACTTTCCAACATGACAGGAAGGTTTCCTTGCATTTTTTTCGTTGCTAACTCTTAATAAATAAGAACGGGCTTTTCCTACCTTTTCCTTCAAAGGGAAAATGCAAGTGGAATACTAAACCATTTCGAACACATAAATCCTTAACGAAATTAGAGGTCGGAATAGACATGAACCTTCTTTGTAGATTTACTAGAATTCATAGTCAATCAAGCTAGTACACAAACACAGATCTAAACTGGAGCAAAAGAAAAGTTTAAATCATCAGTCTTCAATTATTCAATCTCCACATAAAATGAAGCCACTATTGGTTAAACCCAATTCCATAAAGAAAATTTAAAATCCTTGTTAAGTTTTCATTTAAAGCATATTGTAAAAGCATCACGAGAAATTGAGATAATATAGATTTTTTAGTATATAAGGTAATCCTTTCAGTCATAATTAGCAAAGAACCTTTCTAGCCAAATAAGATGTCTAGCCATATAATTCTACTCAAATACTCAAAAAACAGCAACCATTATTTTTCAACAGCATAGAGAACATACAAAGTAGTAGCAGGTCAAAAATAACAAGTTAATATAACCAAAATTATTGTGAGTAGTGTACACAAAAGGGATAACACAAAAAAAACCTTACCTGCTGGTAAGTGGCAAATGTCACTCAAAGTCAAACATGCAGAGCCTCAAAGTTAGAGGTTTGGATGGCTGTCAGATGTCATATCACCTCAAAGTTGATAGAAATGTTTATGCATTTATTAAGAATCAAAATATAATTATTACATAAACTTAAGTTGTATTCCTTGATACCTGAGCGGTTTTTTCAGAAACAAAAAGGAAATTGTTGATACAGATCATAAAGGATTTCATTCTCGCACAAGTCACAACCTAATCATTTTCAGCTTTTCATTATTGTACCAGTAATGCAAGGAAAAAAATGCAGCGCTCATAAATTTTAATTAGGTTAAATAATCAAAGTTAAAGCTCACTGTCTTAAACCAATAGTCTAAGACTGGAAAGCACATATAAGGTTAATAAAGAAAATGAAATGCTAAAACAGAAAGGCCCTGAAGGAATGTCAATGAATTAATTAGTCTCCTCCTGTTTAGTTTTAGGCATTAGTTTTGGTGATCCACGTAGTTACATACCATCAATGTGATCACACATTTGGAATTAATTTCATTGGAGTGGTATTAAGTATTAACTACGTTAAAATGTAGAGAAACTGGATAGTGCATACTTGCCTAATGGTTAATAGTTGAAACACAAGAATATTTTCTCAAGCAGCTGCAAAACCTTACTGGACAGAAGCAAATAGGGTACAATGTTGAGTTTTTGATGCCATAAAGGAAATTTACTCTAGCAATTATTTATATCAATTTTAAGAACATGTTACATAACGTGTTCTTTGCATTATGAAACATATCACAAGCTGCAGATTTGTAACACTAGGAAAGAACACAGCATTAGCATAACACAGTGATTTTCATGGAAACACACGTTACAAAGTGTGTTTCTGCACCTTGCGTTTTTTAGGTGTTACCAACCAACCTTTTAACTGTAATGATATCCGGATGTTAAAGAAAAATCAAAACTCTTCCCCCTCAATGCGAGAAAAGCTTCTTCAAGCCTTTGTCTTGCATCTCCAAAAACCCCAACCAATTTTATGATACATGCCAATTTCCCAATTATGGTGGCAAATTTCCATATGATTGCAACTAAGCTATTCTCATTTTGACAAAAAAAGGATAGAGCCGGGACCAAATTACTAATGAAACAATCAAATTCTTGTGACAATGAACACTTTCATTGCGACTACGAGCAATCTCTTCACTTTCAATCTCTCTCCCTCTCTCCCACTATTGATCTCCATCATTGTCTTTGTTTTTCTTCTTTCTTTTTGCTTTGCATAAATTTGTTCATTTCAGCTGCTTTTATTTGCATCTTTTGCATTATTTTGTTCATCTGTTGTTGTTTCTAGCAATGTTATGTTAAACGTTGGGCGCTCCTAGGCGTCGGACTTGGCGCCCAACCCTTAGACGCCTAGGCGGGCGCCTAAGCGGTTTCTGAGCGTTTTTTTCTTTTTATCTTTTTTAATGCGATACTTGAAGATAAATATATATATACTCAATCAAAAGATGCATAAATACAAAAATACCAACACATATGCTATCCAAACTTTAATAACTTATAAGTTACTATTAAACTTAATCTTATATTTAACTTAAACTTAATATTTAACTTATAACTTAATTTTATATTTAACTCAAATTACTGTTAAATTAATATTAACTTATACTTAATCTTATATTTAACTTAAACTTAATATTTAACCTATAACTTAATCTTATATTTAACTTATAACTTAATCTTATATTTAACTCAAATTACTGTTACTGTTAACTTAATATTAACTTAAACTTAAACAGTTAAACTTAAGTACTGTTAACTTAATTTTTATTTAATTTATAACTTAATCTTATATTTAACGCAAATTATTGTTAACTTAATATTAACTTAAACTTAAACACTAAGCACAAAGTATTTCAGACAGTAAATATCAACTTAAAGTCTTAAACTTAAAAACAATAGAGAATCATGAGATATTTATGAAGTCTGTTAGTGTTAAATATCAACTTAAACTAAAAATTTAAGTCTGTTAGTGTTAAATATCAACTTAAACTTGAAATTTAAGTCTGTTAGTGTTAAATATCAACTTAAACTTAAACTTAATATCAACTTAAACTTAATATTAACTTAAACAATTAAACTTAAGTACTGTTAGTGTTAAATCAATCTTTTATTTAACTATTTAAGAAGTCTGACCCTATCCTTTATCCTTTACCTCATTACAGAGATCGAAGCTGACTCCCAAGGGCTTCATCTTTGTTCTCATCTTTGAGCTCGTCTTCGGTCTCCGATCTCATCTTCGGAACCAAAAAGTTAGTAGAAGCCCTTAGGAGTCAGCTTCGATCTCTGTAACAAGGTAAAGGATAGGGTCAGACTTCTTAAATAGTTAAATAAATGATTGATTTAACACTAGCAGTAGTGCAGTACTTAAGTTTAACTGTTTAAGTTAATATTAAGTTTAAGTTGGTATTTAACACTAACAGACTTAAATATCAAGTTTAAGTTGATATTTAACACTAACAGACTTCATAAATACTTCATAATTCTCTGTTGTTTTTAAGTTTAAGACTTTAAGTTGATATTTACTGTCTGAAATACTTTGTGCTTAGTGTTTAAGTTTTTGTTTTTAAGTTTAAGACTTTAAGTTGATATTTACTGTCTGAAATACTTTGTGCTTAGTGTTTAAGTTTAAGTTAATATTAACAAGACTTTAAGTTGATATTTACTGTCTGAAATACTTTGTGCTTAGTGTTTAAGTTTAAGTTAATATTAACTTAACAGTAATTTGAGTTAAATATAAGATTAAGTTATAAGTTAAATATAAAATTAAGTTAATGGTTCCGAAGATGAGATCGGAGACCGAAGACGAGCTCAGAGATGAGAACGAAGATGAAGCCCTTGGGAGTCAGCTTCGATCTCTGTAACAAGGTAAAGGATAGGGTCAGACTTCTTAAATAGTTAAATAAAAGATTGATTTAACACTAACAGTACTTAAGTTTAACTATTTAAGTTAATATTAAGTTTAAGTTGATATTAAGTTTAAGTTTAAGTTGATATTTATCACTAACAGACTTAAATATAAAGTTTAAGTTGATATTTAACACTAACAGACTTCATAAATACTTCATGATCCTCTGTTGTTTTTAAGTTTAAGACTTTAAGGTGATATTTACTGTCTGAAATACTTTGTGCTTATTGTTTAAGTTTAAGTTAATATTAAGTTAACAGTAATTTGAGTTAAATATAAGATTAAGTTATAAGTTAAATATAAAATTAAGTTAACAGTAATTAAGTTTAATTGTTTAAGTTTAAGTTAATATTAAGTTAACACTAACAGTAATTTGAGTTAAATATAAGATTAAGTTATAAGTTAAATATAAGATTAAGTTATAGGGTAAATATTAAGTTTAAGTTAAATATGAGATTAAGTATAAGTTAATATTAATTTAACAGTAATTTGAGTTAAATACAAAATTAAGTTATAAGTTAAATATTAAGTTTAAGTTAAATATAAGATTAAGTTTAATAGTAACTTATAAGTTATTAAAGTTTGGATAGCATATGTGTTGGTATTTTTGTATTTATGCATCTTTTGATTGAGTATATATATATTTATCTTCAAGTATCGCATTAAAAAAAAGAAAAAAGAAAAAAACGCTCAGAAACCGCTTAGGCCTAAACGTCTAAGCGCCAGGCAACAAGTCCGGCGTCTAGGAGCGCTCAGCGTTTAATGTAACATTGTCATAGTTTTTACCTTATAAATCCATTCTAGATATTCTTTATGAGTCATTTTCATTCTTTAAGTGCAAGTGATCAGTTATTTTCATCATCACATGGTAAGTGGAGTTATAGGACATGGGTATTGAAGTGTCTGTCTAGCATGAATATTTGAATAAAAATTGAGCGTCCTGATAACTTTATTGTCTAATCTGCAAGCATAGGATGGCTCAAATCATGGGATGGGGAGTGGAAAGGGTAAGACCTTAGGTGAATATCCTATAAGAGGCAAATAAAACATGAAATTTAACTATTCCTCTGATGTACTTGTATGCAATAAGATTGACTAGCCATTCATATCTTGCTTGGTATAGGACTTGCCAATGCAGGAGAAGGACAAAGAAGGTTATTGATTCAAATAATAGGAGTGGCTATTCAAAGCACTAACAGAGACAGCTTAAGGGACTTAAATTGCTATGGTTAGGATTAGAATACCTAGTTAGGACGAGAATAATATTGTCGGATTGGTTTGATACTTAGTTAGATGGCTGATTTTTAGTTTCATTAGTTGATTTCTTTGTTTCATCAGTTATGATATCTGTGATTAGGATCTAGATGTACTTTCAGTTGTTAGGTTTTTTTTAGTAAATAACATGTACTCTCTTTTTGGGATAGACATTGATGAATGATAATTATGAGTTTGAGAAAACCTTAAGCATGTGAGTTGCTTCATGTTTGTGTGGCATGCGAGAAAACCTTAAGTATTTTCTCACGGCAGTCTAAAAAAGTCGCACTGTTTGTCAGCTAATCAGTTTTCCTCTTCCTTTTCAAACTGGGAACTGGGACCCCACCACTCAAAAGATAAGAGAATGTCCACAAAGTGGACAGACTAATAGTCAATAAAGGTAATATTTCACCCATTCACCTTGATTAACAACCTGCTTTACATAAGCCCAGCCGTAGAACAATGCTATTAATATAAACTACCTTCTATTACATCTTATAGGAGCTGACAGTTAATTGAATTATGTAATTTGTCTACTCAATGGAGAGAGCAGTGTCCTTTCTCCATTTATTCTCCTTCAGCTTACGGGTCATGATGATGGCGAAATTAATGAATCATCCGATAAAAGATTAATGCAACGGAGCAAACTTATTTGTTTCTTATGTAGTCAAGTCGAATCTCATAGATTAACTTCTTGACAAAAACCATGAATTTGTTTATCACAATAACTAACTACAAAGAAGTGTTTTTCTCAAAACGAGAAAAGCAAGATGTGCATGTATAGTTAGCAATAAAGTCAGTGACCACCAACAATATGAAGATCAAGATTCATAAGATCTAAATTACCATATTAATACTTTTCTGATTTGGTATTTTAATTTTCTTGGGCAACATTGAGGTATTGATACTAATTTCCATTTGTAATAAGGCATGAATGCTCGCCGATGGCAAAGATCTGGCATGAAAACGGCACATGACCATCAAGTGACCTTCTTGTCAACCCTTCATTAATATTTATGCTCAGTTTAGACTGAAAAACCTTTAAAACATACAAATTTCGCACAAATCTCGCACATTTCATACTACTAGGTTTTATGCACGTGCAATACACGTGGTTAAATACCATAATTAAATAGTTTTGATTTATTTCCTTAATAAAATTTATTCATATGTTCCATTTTGATAGTTTTTGCTCTCTTATAACTCTAAACTTTAGCATTGTGATTATTTATTTTCTTTAAGTTTGTTTGAATACGCTACACCAAATTTAAAGTTTCATGTTGATAATTGAATTGACAGGAAATAAATGTAAGCCCAAGCCAATTTGAATTTTTATTTTACTTGGACCAACATGAAACCAAGCTTGACTTGAAAGTATAGTGTTGCGAAAGTGAAAAGTACCTAAAAAAATAGCATTATAAAAGGAAGATGAATAATTAAAGCCAATAAACCAAGATGTTTGATTAAAAATGGTCTGGAGCGAAACTAAAGAGAATATGAAATTTATTCCTAATCATTGATAGACTTCGTTAAAAAATCATAAACTAAATATTAATATTAACTCTAGTACCCTTTTATATAATAAAAGTAGCCACATAAATATATAAATATACTAAAAAAAGTTCATGAAAAATCCCTTTTAAAGATTCTTTATTTTACTTAAAAAATTAAACTATTCTATAAAATATTTAGAAAAACAATAATGTCTCTTTTTTATTGAGTCGAGATCAATCTATCTCCACCTTTATTTTTTCCCTAGGCATTTCTAAAGTAGTGTCTTCATCATTTCCATATTTGACAATAAAGTCGTGACATGAGGCTGGAACTAGATTTCTTGTGCTATTAATATTTCCATAGGCTCATTCATCTTTTGTCTTCTTATCTTACTTCAAAAAAAAGTTGAATGTATTTCTGATGTTCAATACAAACTTCTAGATATACGGACTTTGATTATTTCTCTGTTTCAATGAGAATAAATGTTAATTTCATATATATGAAATTTTTTTGTTTCTAATTTATTACTTAAATAAGGTTAGGAGTTATTACTTAAATAAGGTTAGGAGTTACCATTTTTTTCTCTGCAACGAATTCTTCTGTTGTGCATCCTATAAGAGTTTTTCTGCTACATTAAATAATGTTACTTTTGCTTTATCTTATCATTTTTCATGAGGATCTAAACTATATAACTATATTTTTCATTGTTAATTCACCTTAGATTATAATGTTAATATTTAATTTTGATGTTTATTTCATGAAAAATGAATATTACTTAATCTTAATACTACGCCATCGATTATTCTGCGATATTTATTATTTGGTCACTCTTATTAACATTTCAATCTACCTTCTTGTCACAACATTTGCAAGCGTAGAACCACAGCTCAACTCTATTGTAAATAGTAATTATCTTTGCATTATAGGTGCAACAACGTGTCTATATATTGGTAAACTATTTTTAGATTTAATTGTGTGAATTTTAGAGTAGACCTTATAAGATCATATCTCTTTCGAATGTTGTGATGATTGCATATATCAGTAATATGAATTTTTGTTGTATTTATAAAGAGTGTTGCATTGGCAGTTTGTTTTGAATAAGTCTAGCATATTAGCTTTAAAATATAATATTTTTTCTTTATTATGTTATATGGATAAGTTTATGGTTTACTTACTATTCTCTTATTTCTTCAGTAAGCTATATCTTTGGGTTGATATATATTGTTAACACAAATTACGATGATATGCATATCTTCCCCGCACATTTAAGACATATATAAAGTGAATTTTATGTTTAGTGGCCTTTAATAAGAATTTCAGTATTGAAATATGTCACTTTCATATTTAAAGATCCTAAAATTCAATAGTACTATTACATGCTTATCTTTGAGTATGTCTTCAATAAATAATCATTCGTTGGTAGTCATATCCCCAAATAAAGTTACATGCAGAGTCATGCCACTGTATAGGAAAAAGAAAAATATCGATTTTAATTTTTTTTTTACTTATGCTATTGTAAATAAGTATATCATGTGCATATATTTTTTCCATTATAGTGATTTTTCTCCCCTTGTATGGCTTGTTATATTTCACAACATAGTTAATCAATGACTTCACTTAGTTTCTATTACAAAATTATTTGTATGTGATTTTATATTAACTTCATGATTCCTTTAATATTTAAAATATAAAATATGAAATTTATAAATACTTACTAATTTTTCTTGTATCTTCCATGAAGAATGCTTCTTTGACTGGCACAAAGTTTCTCAATATGTTCTTCAAGGGGAACTTAGTTGGTGCTTCTTTAACAGATATGTCCTTTACCAATGTCAATTAAAGTGATTCATGAATGTTTCTGAATTTTGGGTTTATTTCCTTGAATCATTTAATGTGTATTGGTTATAAGTTCAAGTTTTTTGTGGATTTTAACTTTAAGGGAGTTTTTTTTTACCATTTTTATAGCTTTAAGGTTTTTCTGTAAATTTTAAATTTTTAAGTGACTGATGGTAATTTCTTGAATCATCTGTGTCATTTGTAAGTTTTAAAATTTCAGAACTTCATGGTGCTCTTTTGTAATTTAAACTTTTTAGATTGTTTCTATAGTTTTTGAAATGAATTTTAAACTCTTTGGGGACTATTGTCAATTTCTAGATTTATTTTTATTTTTTTACGTTTTGAAAGATCACGATGTTTTGTGTAACTTTGAACTTTCGAGGGTATTTTATGTAATTTTTAAAACTTTTTGGTTTTTTTTTAATACTTTATGTATTATAATATGTTAGCTATGTATGATTTCTTAATCTTATTTTTTTAAAACTGTTGAGCTATAGGTAGGTCACGTAGGATTAGTATAGTATATAATTAGTATTAGAATAGAGTCAGATTTAAATGAAATATTCAAAATAGCGTTTCATGTATTTTATTAAATCTTATTTTTAAAAAATTATTGAGCTATAGGTAGTTCATATTTGATTAGTATCAGATATAATTAGGATTATGATAAATTAATATTTAAATAAAATATTAAAAATAGCAAAGAGTAATTTTGACCATGGAAAGCTTTTCTAGAACTCGTGCTTTTAAAGGAAGTATGATATGATTGATCATTGTTTATCCTTGCCATCTCACAAAGTCGCAACCACAAAAGCGTTTACAAGAGTCCATAAAAGGCCATGTGATGGTCAGGTCACGTTTTCATGCCAAATTCTTCGCCGACAGACTATTCATCCCTTATTGCAAGTGGAAGTTCGATATTAATACCTTAATGTTGCCGAAGATAATTTAAGATACCAAATCAGAAAACGTGTCTCACTAACAATACCAATTTAGTAATTTTGCCGATTCATAAGTGAAACAAAATGGAAAATGAAGCTTTACCATCTTATAGCCCAAAATGTTCCTCGAAGTCGGATCATCCCATATAAGAAGCAAGACTCTCACCCCTTCCTGAGACTTGGCTTTCAAAAGCTCCCCCAGAGTAATATCCTTCCCAGTGCCAACACCCCGGACCAACCGGATTGTGTGGAACACTGACCAACCGGTAATATAAATAAGTCGCCTTGCTTGAGATATCGCCTCAAGAATATCAAGCCAACACTGCCCATGCACATAATGATGACCCCCTTCCAGCGTCAAATCAGGAAGAAGACCATCAGGCACATGCGCATCCTGATACAGTGTGACTCTCCCGCCCTTCCTCAGTGGGAAATAAGTACCCGGCACCCCAATATACTCAGGACCAGCACCAACTCCTAAATGGTACATGCTCAACCTCAGTATCGGTATGTACAACATCGATATCCTCAAAGTAGCCCCTGGCTTACATGGCTTCCCACTAGACCCAAGAATAGGAAAAATCCCCTCAACCCTTTCACCTGAATAAATCCACTCCGCCGGAATCATAACACTCCCGATGAGCTGAGACCCGACAATATCACTATCCTTAACCAAGAACTCAACCTCCGCTGCATAATGTGCGACAGGTACATTGAAATGCTGCATCCACACAGGGTGCTCATTGTTTGGGACCACATAAGTCCTGCCCACAACTGCGCCCCCGACCACGATGGACACATACGGGTCGCTGGTCATTGCCGACAGGCCATCGATCTTCCCCATGGAGGACAGCCTCTTGCCGAACATGTCCCCGACCCTCTTGGAGAACATGTCGAAGTTCGGCAAGTGCCTCGCCTCGCACACCCAGAAGTCGAGGCTCCCATGACCGCAAGAAGGAGCACCTTAGGGACCCACGGTTGCTGCGCGGTAGCCTGCGCCAGCCACCAGCCTCCGCCCGCCATGCGGGCACCTGCATGTCCCGGGCCCCCAGCCACCGTAGGGACCATCTGCATGCTTGAGCGTCTTCTGATGCCCGCCGCCGCTGCTAGGGACCGCATTGCGTACTGTCTGGGCGTGGGGCTCCCGGCGAAGGAAACCCCCTGAAGGTTGCGGGGTCCGGGCCTAGCGGCCGCATCCATGATGCAGAGCGAGAAGCGAATGGGCAGGGCGTGAGTAGCAGAGCGGCGTGGCGCATGAGCGGAGCTCGGGCTGCAGGATGCTGGTGATGATCGGAGATTTGGACCCTATCGAGGTGATCAGCTGGATTGTAGCTCTGGGGAAGGGGATTGGGATTGGGACTGCTGTAGGGGGCTTGTTGATGAGGATAAGGGTAGGGATTGTGATTGGGATTGGGATCGGCGTAGGGATTGTAGTAATTGGGGTTAGGGTTGTAGTAATTGGGAGGGTAGTTAGGGTTAGGGCTAGGGTTAGGGTAGGCGGCGTTAGGGTTGAATTGAGGGTCAGGATGAGGATGAGGAGGCTGAGAGGGGAATGAGTTGTGAGATTGGAGATACGGAGCGCGTTGCGCGTTGGGATCTGCTGATTGAGGAGGAGGAGGGTAGGGGTAGGGGTAGGGGTAAGGGTAGGGGTAAGGATTTGGATGTTGATTTGGGGGGTAATTTGGATCCATGATTCGAGGGACCGCCTGCGCTTCGACTTTTAATGGCGTAGTTGGCCGAGGAGGAAGAAGCAGAGAACGAAGGCGGTCCGGATTTTGACGATTTGCATTAACATATGTTGGGGATTTAAATTTGGTTGTGAGGCGTTTCTTTTTATGATTTTTTTTGTTGGGTTGTTCGTTGCCATGGTCATCACTAACATTTGAGATGCGCGTTGCGCTGCGCAGGCAAGAAAAGTCTTCGAGGAAACTTGCAGGCTTTCTTTTGTGGCGTTAGATATTGATTAATTACCTTATTTGATCTCTTGAATTAATTAAAGTAACGGGGGCTAATGATTTATCTATATTTATATCTATCTATATCTATATCTGTCTAGAGATCTACATCTATCTATATTTATATTTAGGAAAAATTGCTTGGAGAAACTAAAAAAAACTGGGTAATGCATCCCCCTCCCCAGCCCCAAAACCATAACCCTCAAGCCCTTATTTTGAAACATAAATGCAACCAACCCCCAAACAGTGTAGAGACCCATTGTCCAAGAAATCCATTCCAAAATTGCCCTTCTTCCCAATTTAAAACCCAAAAAATCCAGCCCCAAAATTCCTTTCCTCTTCAAGCTGACCCTAATCTGACCCAAGACCTCCCCCTCCCCCACCACCGCCGACGCCTCCACCCCTACGCCACCGTGTCATTGCCAACGACTCCTCCCCCCTCCTCCTCCCTTCCCCTTCACTCCCTCTCCATCAAGCACGGCCTCCACTCCGACCCCCACGCCGCCTCATCCATGCTCCACGCCTACGCCTCGGCCGGCTCCCTCAACTCCGCTCGCCAACTGTTCGACGAAATGCCGTGCAGAACCACCGTCACATGAGAGATTGTGTATAGAAGGTGGAAGTTGCAACTTGCAGAACCATAACTCTAACCATCTCAGACTTCCTTGCTCTGGAAAGGCTAAAAGAATCATACAGTGTGGCGGTGAGATTGAACCAGTTACAAAGGGAAGAACTAGGTCTTATTGAACAGGCGTATGATAACCCTCATGAAGCTTTGTCAAGGATAAAGCGTCACTTACACAACAGGCCTTCAAAGAAGTAAGCTCAGTTCATTCCAGGGGTTGTTTATTAGATTTTTCAACTTTTAATATGGTTTTCCATTGTTTGACTTATTATTATTTTTCAGGTTGGCATCGAGTTCATGGATTTGTATAGCTATCTGATTCCAGTATATGAGGTTGAGCCTCTAGAGAAAATAACAGATGCATACCTAGATCAGTATCTATGGTATGAAGGTGACAAGAGACATCTTTTCCCAAATTGGATTAAACCTGCTGATTCAGAACCACCGCCTATACTCGTATAATTTGTCGTGACATTTATATATTCTTTTAAGTTTATTGTTGAATGGTTTAAATTTGTCGTGTCGGAGACCTGATCTTTTTGAATATGCGCTTGCTCATGTTGATGTTATGGGTATTTTCTTAACATTTACAAATTCACAATAGGTTCGTTTTTTCTTTAATCAGTATTTTTATGGCGGTATCTTTTTCATTTATGGGTATTTTTTTAACTCATTCACACAATGTTAACATTTAGGGCATGTCTGGGCTTCTGAATTTGGATGTTTGGATAACGAGGAAGATTTCCGTTGGCTAAACAAATAAGAAACTCTGCATTGTTACTCATCGGACATGTTTCATCTTAGTTAATTGATCGTAGTGGATGTTATTGAATCTATTGAACTCCCTTCTAGCAAAAAAAGGAAAATTTCATGATGTAGATTCATGTGACATAGTGACATTCTGGGTGATATATTTTGTTGTTATGGTATTCTATGTGACTTTTACTGCTGTTATGTGATGTTTTCGTATTCTGTATGACATATGCTACGGTTATGTGACATATGATGTTGTTATGTGACATTTTGGTATTCCGTGTGACATATGCTGTTGTTATGTGATATTTTGGTATTTTGTGTGATATATTATCGTTACCAGTTACCTATGCTACAGTTTAAGTATTACTTGATATTTTTACAAGTATGATTGTGGCATACATGTACATTTTTTTTCATCAAGACGATTCTAGATGGAATGGAGACAATGAATATTGAAGCCTTGCAAAGGGAGTCTGAGATGTTACGTGCAGGACTTGCTACTCAAATCATATGCGTAGGTCGTGAATGGAAGAAGTTGTGATTGAAGTTAGATATTGATGATCCAGAATATATTTTGTACTTTGGGGCGTAATGATGTACCATTTATTGAGTGGCAGTATTAGACAAACACATGTAACTGTTTCATTTGTTGGATGTTGCATGTTTGCTAGCTGTTTGTAAAAGATAAAATGTGCATTTGTAATTAACTACAAAGTATAGCCATTTTCTATGAACTTGAGTTATTAAATGTCACATTATGCTTTCATATGCGACGTTCGTCTGTTATGTGTGACCTTTACTCATCTTATGTGGCAATACTCTATTATATGTGACTCTTATCTGTGTTCTGTGATATTTTGTTGTTGTTTGTGACAGTTATCGTTTATATGTGACACTTGGTTGTACTTTGTAGTTAATTTTTGTTTGACACACAGATATTTTGCTGTAGCTTGTTCTACGAAGGAAATGGGATGGTGGGTTGGGATTGTAACTTCCTGATGTATTTTTGTTTGATGGGTTAAAATCCTTTGTAAGGATGATTTTAATCCAATTAGAGTTCAATTTGGGAGGGTTGTTATGTTTCTTAGTTATTCAATGTTAAATGGGAAAATGAGGGAACATATATGTATCGTAATTAACCGTAAATGTGACAAATAAGCATATCATGTGACATTTCAATGTTATACGTGACAATTCAATCTTACATGTGACAGTTCTACCTTATATGTGATATTTAGATCTGATTTGTGATATTTGGGTGTTGTATGTGATATTTGGGTGTTGTATGTGATATTTGGGTGTTACTTGTGATATTTGTTGTTTATACGTGATATTTGAGTGTTGTATGTGATATTTGGGTGTTACTTATGACATTTGTTATTTATATGTGATATTTGGGTGTTGTATGTGATATTTGGGTGTTGCTTGTAATATTTATTGTTTATACGTGACACATTAACTATTAACAAATTACAGCCAAATAGCACAAATTAAAGTCATGTGTCAGTATAAATAATAAATATCATAAGCAACACCCAAATATCACATACAACACCCAAATGTCACGTATAAACAATAAATGTCACAAGCAACATCTAAATATCACATACAACACTCAAATGTCACGTATAAATAACAAATATCACAAACAACACCCAAATGTCATATACAACACCCAAATGTCACAGTATTACTGACTACATATCTTCCCACTCTAAAATCCCCACAAGTCTTGGCAAATCCAGAGGCAACCATTTCATTGGCCCCAATTCACTATTACTCTTTGAATTTAAAAAACTGATGCGAAGCTTAAAATGCCTGAGGGAGAGAACTTTCTGAATCAGGGCATAGAATCGTGGCATGTCGTCTTCATTGTCATATGTAGCCCATACATGTTCTCCTTCAAAAGATTTTTCTAAGCTATCCTTGTCATATGACGTATAAACAACAAATATCACATACAACACCCAAATATCACATACAACACCAAAATATCACAAATCAGATCTAAATATCACATATAAGGTAGAACTGTCACATGTAAGATTGAATTGTCACGTATAACATTGAAATGTCACATGATATGCTTATTTGTCACATTTACGGTTAATTGCTATACATATATGTTCCCTCATTTTCCTATTTAACATTGAATAACTAAGAAACATAACAACCCTCCCAAATTGAACTCTAATTGGATTAAAATCATCCTTACAAAGGATTTTAACCCATCAAACAAAAATACATCAGGAAGTTACAATCCCAACCCACTATCCCATTTCCTTCGTAGAACAAGCTACAGCAAAATATCTGTGTGTCAAACAAAAATTAACTACAAAGTACAACCAAGTGTCACATATAAACGATAACTGTCACAAACAACAACAAAATATCACAGAACACAGATAAGAGTCACATATAATAGAGTATTGCCATATAAGATGAGTAAATGTCACACATAACAGACGAACGTCGCATATGAAAGCATAATGTGACATTTAATAACTCAAGTTCATAGAAAATGGCTATACTTTGTAGTTAATTATAAATGCACATTTTATCTATTACAAACAGCTAGTAAACATGCAACATCCAACAAATGAAACAGTTACATGTGTTTGTCTAATACTGCCACTCAATAAATGGTACATCATTACGCCCCAAAGTACAAAATATATTCTGGATCATCAATATCTAATTTCAATCACAACTTCTTCCATTCACGACCTCATATACTGGAATCAGATAGCTATACAAATCCATGAACTCGATGCCAACCTGAAAAATAATAATAAGTCAAACAATGGAAAACCATATTAAAAGTTGAAACAATCTAATAAACAACCCCTGGAATGAACTGAGCTTACTTCTTTGAAGGCCTGTTGTGTAAGTGACGTTTTATCCTTGACAAAACTTCATGAGGGTTATCATACGCCTGTTCTATAAGACCCAGTTCTTCCCTTTGTAACTGGTTCAATCTCACCGCCACACTGTATGATTCTTTTAGCCTTTCCAGAGCAAGGAAGTCTGAGATGGTTAGAGTTATGGTTCTGCAAGTTGCAACTTCAACCTTCTATACATAATCTCTCATGTGACGGTGGTTCAGCACGGCATTTCGTCGAACAGTTGGTGAGCGGAGTTGAGGGAGCCGGCCGAGGCGTAGGCGTGGAGCATGGATGAGGCGGCGTGGGGGTCGGAGTGGAGGTCGTGCTTGATGGAGAGGGAGTGAAGGGGAAGGGAGGAGGAGGGGGAGGAGCGGAGGAGGAAGGGGAGGGTGAAGCGGTCAGGGTGGAGACAGATTAGGGTCAGCTTGAAGAGGAAAGGAATTTTGGGGCTGGATTTTTTGGGTTTTAAATTGGGAAGAAGGGCAATTTTGGAATGGATTTCTTGGACAGTGGGTCTCTACACTGTTTGGGGGTTGGTTGCATTTATGTTTCAAAATAAGGGCTTGAGGGTTATGGTTTTGAGGCTGGGGAGGGGGATGCATTACCCAATTTTTTTTAGTTCCTCCAAGCAATTTTCCCTTATATTTATATTTATACTACATATAAAAGAGGATTTGGGTGTTAAAACTTTTGATTGCC